GACCATTGGTTTCAGTTATTAAAGCATTTAAATCAAGTTGTAAGAAAGTCAGACGCTAAATCGATATAACCTTGTTCCACTGCATTTTAGTTTTTCAAGCAAAAACATATATATTATCAACCCATTAATCTAAGATAAATAAACAAAGAGCTGTCAATTAAAGTCTGTATTTCAATACATCAGTTACACCGACCACAACTGAAATGATTCTTCTTGAAGTAATTAAAGTTATGCTGCCTATGAACAAGTCTGAAGTTTGCAGATTTTTCCTTATCTAATTACTATTCATTGCAAATCCATATATGTGTACAAATAACCACCCCCACCCCACCCCGACCCTGACCACAACTCCACCCCGACCCTATCCCACTCACCCCGAACCTGACCCCAACTCCACCCCGACCCGACCCGACCCCACCCCTCCCCCAAACGAATCCACCATCCTCGTAACACTTCTGACATGGCAGTCATGCAAATGAACATGAATTTGCACGGCTAATTATGAAATATCAAATGCAAGGAGATTGCTATTCAAATTAACAGGAGTAGTCATTTATGTTTTGGACATTCGTACATTTTTCACCAGATATCTCATTCGCTTTTTGGAGTCTGATAAACTATGACATAATATTTGCACGTTTATGTAAATATGCATGTTTTGTAATTTGGTAGATAGATAGATAGATAGATAGATAGATAGATAGATAGATAGATAGATAGATAGATAGATAGATAGATAGATAGATAGATAGATAGATAGATAGATAGATAGATAGATAGATAGATAGATAGATAGATAGATAGATAGATAGATAGATAGATAGATAGATAGATAGATAGATAGATAGATAGATAGATAGATAGATAGATAGATAGATAGATAGATAGATAGATAGATAGATAGATAGATAGATAGATAGATAGATAGATAGATAGATAGATAGATAGATAGATAGATAGATAGATAGATAGATAGATAAGATAGATAGATAGATAGATAGATAGATAGATAGATAGATAGATAGATAGATAGATAGATAGATAGATAGATAGATAGATAGATAGATAGATAGATAGATAGATAGATAGATAGATAGATAGATAGATAGATAGATAGATAGATAGATAGATAGATAGATAGATAGATAGATAGATAGATAGATAGATAGATAGATAGATAGATAGATAGATAGATAGATAGATAGATAGATAGATAGATAGATAGATAGATAGATAGATAGATAGATAGATAGATAGATAGATAGATAGATAGTGTTATTTCAAGAAAAATATTCTGCATACATAATACAGTGATTTTGTATTATTGGTTGGTAGCGAAATAGCATGCTATGTGATAATAAAGGCATAAGAGATATATAGATAGAATTTAAATAGACAGATTAAAACAAATTGTCATGTAAATAGATTGATAATTGATAACTAAATTATACAAATCACATAATATATTGCAGACATATCAATTAAACAAACTTATTCATTTTAAATGATGTTAATAAATTAATACGATCATTTCTCTGCAGGTCACTTTCGCACAAGTTTCAATATTTATTCATCCAAAAAATGATAACTTCACAACCGTTTTATCTTTACTTGTATTAGTGCTAGCATTTGCTGTTCTTTTCTGATGCTGGATAGTTAAGTGCAAATATAATTACTGTAATAAATTTGGAGTATGTGCATTTGGTTATAGCGCCCTGTTTTAATGAATTCTTAAATTTTTGTGATTATTTATTTGGTTACTGGAAGTCATCCCTTTGGAAATATTCCTTAGTCCGAAATAATTAGCAAATTACTAGGAGAAAACATAAATGATTTTGAAATTATAAATGGCGAAAAGTCACAAAAAGCATGGCATAAATGAGCATTTGACCAAAAACTATTATTCACTCTATGAATATAAGCTTTGTACATTTCGAAATGAGGTCGTTTGGATTTTGTTAGTGGAGTGGACGTTCTCCACTAAGTCTCCGGCCATAGGGGTAAGTGTTAAATTTTTATTTTTATTTGATTTACGAAACCTTTTCTCGTCTTTTTCGTATCGGGTAATGAAGTTTTTACATTGCGAACTATGCTATTAAAATTTAATTCAGAACCCATTATTATAAACAGTTTGGTTTTATTGTTGCTGATTTGGGCTGACGCTATCTGTTAGGAACAATGCAGTCTGATTAAGGCTGTCGCTGTATGTTTAGGACCAACGCTGTCTAATTAAGGCTGTCGCTGTATGTTTATGACTAATTCTGTCTGATTAAGGCTGACGCTGTATGTTTACGACTAATTCTGTCAGATGAAGGCTGTCGTTATATTTTAGGACTGATTGTGTCTGATTAGGGCTGACGCTGTCTGTTAGGACTAATGCTGTCTGATTAGGGCTGACACTGTCTGTTTAGGACTAATTTTGTCTGATTTGGGCTGACGCTGTATGTTTAGGACTAATTGTGTCTGATTTGGGCTGACGCTGTATGTTTAGGATTAATTATGTCTGATTAAGGCTGACGCTGTATGTTTAGGATTAATTTCTGTCTGATTAAGGCTGACGCTCTCTGTTTAGGACTAATTGTGTCTGATTTGGGCTGACGCTGTATGTTTAGGACTAATTATGTCTGATTATGGCTGACGTTGTATGTTTAGGACCAATTCTGTCTGATGAAGGCTGACGCTCTTTGTTTAGGATTAATTCTGTCTGATTAGGGCTGACGCTCTAGTTTAGGACTAATTGTGTCTGATTAGAGCTGACGCTGTATTTTTAGGACTAATTCTGTCTGAGTAAGGCTGACGCTGTATGTTTTGGACTAATTATGTCTGATTAAGGCTGACGCTGTATTTTAGGACTAATTGTGTCTGATTAGAGCTGACGCTGTATTTTTAGGACTAATTCTGTCTGAGTAAGGCTGACGCTGTATTATTAGCACTAATTCTGTCTGATTAATGCTGACGCTGTATGTTTAGGACTAATTCTGTCTGATTAAGGCTGACGCTGTTTTATTAGAACTACTTTTGTCTGATAAGGGCTGACGCTGTATGTTTAGGACTAATTGTGTCTGATTAGGGCTGACGATATATGTTTAGGACTAATTGTGTCTGGTTAAGGCTGACGCTGTATTTTAGGACTAATTGTGTCTGATTAGAGCTGACGCTGTAATTTTAGGACTAATTCTGTCTGAGTAAGGCTGACGCTGTATGTTTAGGACTAATTATGTCTGATTAAGGATGACGCTGTATTTTAGGACAAATTGTGTCTGATTAGAGCTGACGCTGTATGTTTAGGACTAACTCTGTCTGATTAAAGCTGAGGCTGTATGTTTAGGACTAATTCTGTCTGATTAAGGCTGACGCTGTATTATGAGAACTAATTCTGTCTGATTAAGGCTGATGATGTATGTTTTGAACTAATGCTGTCTGATTAATGGTGACGCTGTATGTTTAGAACTAATGCTGTCTGATTAAGGCTGACGCTGTTTTATTAGGACTACTTTTGTCTGATAAGGGCTGACGCTGTATGTTTAGGACTAATTGTGTCTGAATAAGGCTGACGCTGTATGTTTAGGACTTATGCTGTCTGATTAAGGCTGACGCTGTTTTATTAGGACTACTTTTGTCTGATAAGGGCTGACGCTGTATGATTTGGACTAATTCTGTCTGCTTAAGCCTGACGCTATATGTTTAGGACTAATGCTGTCTGATTTGGGCTGACGCTGTATGTTTTGGACTAATTCTGTCTGAGTAAGGCTGACGCTGTATTTTTAGGACTAATTCTGTCTGAGTAAAGCTGACGTATTTTTAGCACTAATTCTGTCTGATTAAAGCTGACGCTGTATGTTTAGGACTAATTCTGTCTGATTTGGGCTGACACTGTATGTTTAGGACTAATTCTGTCTGAGTAAGGCTGACGCTGTATTTTTAGCACTAATTCTGTCTGATTAAAGCTGACGCTGTATGTTTAGGACTAATTGTGTCTGATTAGGGCTGACGATATATGTTTAGGACAAATTGTGTCTGATTAAGACTGACGCTGTATGTTTAGGACTAATTCTGTCTGATTAAGGCTGACGCTGTATGTTTATGACTAATTCTGTCTGATTAAGTCTGACGCTGTATTTTTAGGATTAATTTTGTCTGATTAAGGCTGACGCTGTATGATTCGGTCTAATTATGTATGATTAAGGCTGACGCTGTCTGTTTAGAGCTAATGCTGTCTATTAAGGCTGATGCTGTGTCTTTAGGACTGATGCTGTCTGATAATGGCTGATAGTAGCTATCTTGGATTGAGCGTAGCTGTCCATATTACAGTGTGTTGTCTATATGGATATGTATACTTATAAATAAATATGGTGGATTCGAGAAGGGTATATAAGGTTAATAGTGGGTCATTCCAATGTTCTAGTGAAACTGAAGACTAACAGATTGTGAAGTGAATGATCTAGTGAAATTATAGACTAACAGTTTGTGATCTGAATGACTTTTCAAGTTTACAGTAATATTTATGTTCATTTGATCGTGGATTCAGGTTAAACAATATTCATATAGGAGTTTTGCTCAATATTCATTGCCTTAATTGAAACATAATGATTGCATTCATTTAATATAAAAAGAGAAACAAACACTCAGTTTCAACTCCGCTACAGATTTGACTGGCCTAAGGTGGCAAATGGTAAGAATAGTTCCCCGTGTTTTGTGAAGTTGTAAGGTTTCAGGGCGCGTAATATTGACGGTACGGAAAGTTGACTATTCAGATGTGCTGATGATAGACAATTGATAAGTTGTAAGATTTATGGTCTTGCATTGACTGTAGTAAAATTTATTGATAATATGGACAAATTGGAATTTCTAATTTACAAAGAAGCTGCATGGAAGTCTTTGGAAATTTGGTGCAAACTTACAACTTCTAGCGGAATCGCGCCACATAATGAAATTTCACTCCACCTTATCTGATAATGCATCTCTCTTAACAGTGATGTTCTTGTACTTTTTCCTGAAACGCTCCGGTGGCTTAGTGGTTAGAGCGACCGACTCGGATGCGGAAGGTCGCAGGTTCGAACCCCGGCCGAGTCACACCAAAGACTTTTAAAAATATAGTATTAACAGCTGCCTCGTTTAGTGCTAATCATTAAGAGGTTAGTGTTAGGACTAGTAGGCCTGGTGACAGGATACTTTGACTGGGTGAGATATGTCACATGTCTGCGGAATGATTTCACTATAAACTGTCACACTGCAAACATTGTAGCAAAATGACTGAATTTTTTTAAAAGCTAATTGAAAAAATTAAATTACATTCAGACAGTTTCCCTAGAGGCATCCCCATTTTTAAGTGGGATCGAAAGGTAATGTAATATACAACTCGTGGGTAAATGGTATGCTTTTGTGATGTATTCTTTATAATTTGTATTCTTAATCATATCACCAAAGAATGAGCACATTGTGCAGTAGTGAGAGTCGGAATAGGCAATTGGGGTGTAAGACCCACAATCCCCTACAACTCAGCACAATATAATAGCATTGAAATATCCTGTACGTATTGTAGCTACTGGTAGCGTCTCAGTGTTTCACGGGTTGTTTCGATATTTTGTAGCCATGTTCTTACTACATCAATAAAGCATGATTGACAATAATCTTCTAGCCAATTTTCAAACGTTATGCAGCAATGAAATGTTGCACACGGTGCACAAGCTAATCGCAAGGTAAATATGCGAGACATTGTCAATGTTGAATCTAACTTCGTGTTATGCAATCCATCAAAAATGTGAGATTAATTGGGCACAAACATATGTCTGATCACAGTTCATGTTTTTGTATGAATTGCTACATCCGTGTTTGACTTGGTTGATGTTTCTTTTGCCATCACAAAAAAAGGAATAAATCCTTTTAACTTTAGAACATGATGATTTATTCAAGGATGATTTATTCAAGGATTGTATCCCATATATTTTTACTCGGTCACCTGGGGCATTAAATTCAATAAGAGCGTATATGCATGCGCTTAATATCACGCCAATACACTCGTCATAAAATAGCTTGTTCCTGAGCAGGAAATATGAACATTTATTAATTATATCGCCCAAAAACTTCTTTTGCCTGCATAACTTATAATTCTAGTGCTTTGTTTTCGTTTTTGTTTTCTCTCTGAGTGACGATAACAACCACGATCCATGAGACTTACACATATTTATGGCACTATGAAAATGAAATTGTTTCTTTCTTTGTCGGCAAAGATTAATATTGGACCACTTTGTTTCATAAAGAATTCAAGAGATGCTACTGACTAGGAATTTTTATTGAGACCGTTGTTTTCAGACTACATCGCAGGGAGAACACTCCAATTTTGGCCATGGTGGCTTTACGCAAACAGTATATAAAATCAATTAGAACTGTCAATCGATATTTAGCTAACCACTCATTGTGAACTCGGAACAGTAGGATAGCTCATTAAAGCCGCCATTCATTTTCAGACATTGAAGATTTACATCCACAGATGCCTAATTGATTTCAATTGGTCTTAAGTCAGTACTGAATATTTTAATATCGTTACGCTAATTATCAATTAATTAGATTATAAACATTTCTCTCCATATATTAATGCGAGACTAGAAACATGGAAATTATGTCATTTTTTACCCAAGAAGGAGATGAATTCTATATATGTATTAACAAAGATTACGATACATAAAGACAGATGATGAACATATAAAAGATGGAATAAAGAAGTATATTGCATAGACGAGTAATCAATAATGAGTAATGGCAAAAATATGTACAGTCATTATAACTAGAATTGCATAGCACAAGTGTATCAAAACCAATATCAACAAACTAGAGCTAAATTAAGCTTGTCTGACAAAGAGACAACAGCACTTGAACCATAACAGAAAAGCTTGTCTAACACAAAGGCCATCTATATTTAAACAAGAACTTAATAAAGCAACTATATCACAATAGAAATCAGCTGAACAAGATCTTTATATATCAATTATATATGTCAAATCCGATCAAGCTACTTTTATAACTGGTGGACCTTATAGCCTATAGAGTGCATGTGGTGACATGGAATGATGGATCACAAAATGTAATGTATCAAAGAAAGTAGAACCTATATCTGTATGTACAGCTTAATCTATCATATAGTATCACGCATTCTTGTTTACCAGTCTAAAAACACTGACAGAAGTATCTCTTACATATGTCACTGCAAATGTATCCCCGTTCTTATCGAAACAAATTCCCATGGGCATCTTTTCCATTCCACTTACGATAATCTGTAGGAGGGAACCGTCTGGAGAAAGCTGTAAAATGTTGTTGGATCCAGATCCCGCTACGTACACGTAGTCATATCGGTCCAACGCAATACTGTAGGGTAATTTTAAATTCTGGTGTTTGAAAGTAAAATATGTTCTTCCCTCCAAATCAAAGCAAAACAAAGAGTCATTCCAACATGCAGATATATACAGGCGAGTTTTCATGGCATTCAATGTGACGAACGTTTGGCCGGTACCTACGCCATCAAATTCATGGAAAGATTTTTCCTTCCCGTCCAGAGATACTAGACTCCAGTACAACCGCTTACCATCATTACATGGACCGGAAACTATCACCATCTTCTCGCTGACGACAGTGACACCATAACAAATGTATCTGGTTCTAATCTTCCTCGTACTTGTGATGTTGTTATCTTTCACTGAAAATAACATTATTGTTTTCTGAGTAGGTATCGAAACTGCCACTTCACTATCCTTAGCTGACGAAAGTTGCCATGGAAAATCCGACAATTGATAAGAGCTTACAATGTTGAATGTGGAGTCTAAAAGATGACACATTTTGTTGTTGCAGTCGGAAATCATCAATTGATTGCCCGATACGTACGTTACATCTGAATACCATGGAACCTTATCACCAGAAGCTCGAACCTCTTTAACATCCACATACACTGCTTTGGATTCTTTCTGCAGCTCATATTCATCACATCGTATCTGCAATTCTCGATTACTTGCCCTTTTTAGTTTAGCAATTTCACCTTTTGGTATCGTTGTCAACGTCTTTATTTGTGAGCTGATTTCTAACTGCAAAGTAAATGGGTCAATCCTTTTATACATTTCTTCAATTTGCGCCTCAGACATGGAAAGCTGAGATGTCATCTGTTTGGATAGCAGTGAAAGTTGGTACGTTGTTGCAACTTGAGTTACCTTCTCAAGAATTATATTGGAATTTCTGATTGCTGTATTTTGTGACAGGTAATCTTTGTTTAGTTGTTCTGTTCTCTTTCTTTCTTTGGCAAGAATTATTTCTCCATCCTTTTTTATTCTTCGTCCAACATCATCTAGAACATCAACAATTGAATTTTTCAGTGCCTGGATTTCCAGCGTAAAATCATTGATCTGAGAAGCAAGATGATTTAGGTTGGACAGATTTATTTCAGCCATTTTATCAAGTTTCTCTTCGAGCAGTTTTACTCGCGTTTTCATCTGAGTTAATGTTTTTGATAAATTTGTAGTTCTATGCGAGATGCGTACTACTTTAGAACAGTCTGCATGATCAGCATTAACACATTTTGCGCAAATCTGAGTTCCATGGGTTTTACAGAACAGTTCAAGAGGACTGTGTGGATGCCTTGTGCAATTGAAGAATGAATTATGTTGCAGAACGATATTTCGTTTGTGTGGCAACTCCTCTATGTTCAGCATCAAATGAGTTCTAGACACTTTCGAGTTTTTATGTACCATACAGCAATATTTACACAAAGCTTCTTCACATATCAAACACATTTGTTCGGCTGGCCGTCTGATATCCTCCGCTTGACAAACGTCACACAAAAGGTTCACTTTTACGTTTGATTCCAACAAGGCAGATAGCAGAATCGTATCATGCGGTAATAAGTATACCAATTTCTCTGCAGAATTTTCTTCTGTTTCACGAACGGGAGCTGTACATACTGAACAGGGAAATTCAATAACTGAATCTTTACGAGACATAGTGTTTGATATGTGTGACTGTAGACAGTCCTGACAAAACGAATGTAAACACGGCAGTCGTCTTGGAGACCTAAATACCTTCAGACATAGGGGACAGTTCAATCCTTTCGATAGGTTTTGTTTCCCCTCCTCTACTACATCGGAAGCTATCAAATCTTCACTTGATGCTGCCATTATTGCTGCCACAACTTATCCGTGCTTACTATACTTCCCTTGTGAATCTATGCAAGCAAAACTTTTGATAACCTTCCTGGTTGTAATTCCGACCGAATGACTGTTGTGAATAAAATGTAAATTGTCATGATGAGAAGATACGAAATCACATTTAATGCTTGAGTGAATTTTATAAATGCAGCTTGTAACTATTATTGTAAACTGAGAAAAGACATGATGCCATTTTCTGCGTACCATACCTTGGGCATATTATTTCAACAGTAGATCTATTAAACCAGTATATATATATATATATATATATATATATATATATATATATATATATATATATATATATATATATATATATATATATATAATCTTTCGTGTTATTTGCCGATCTGTACGTGATAGAATGTGACTATTAAATGATCGATTAATATATGGTGATTTTGTTCTCATGCAAATATATACCTAGTACTGGGGCTACAGTAGCTCAGCTGGTTGCAATGGCAAATATATTCTTTTTCATTGACATGATATATTAAATTATGTGTTAAATGTGTCGTTATAAACAACACATATAAAAGTACATAGGTTTGATATAGCAAGTCATATATTAAAAGGGTCATTATAAATAACAAAACTTATTGTGAATAACACCAGTATCGCCCTAATTGGATCTTGATTTTTTAAAACTTTTCTTGTGTACACACGAATACTATTATATTGAAAGACGTCTAATATTATATGGATTACAAATACTGTTGACTGAGCCACCAATTTAGATTTCCTCTGTCGTGCTGGTTGCAATTTTGTGTATACTGCATATGATTAGATGTACAAAATTGTGTATATTGCAAACAATTAGATGTACAGTTTTGTGTATACTGCATACGATTAGATGTTCAGTTTTGTGTATACTTCATATGATTACAT